CTCCTTAAAAGCACAGAGAAACTTTCCACTTTCAGCAGATGAATGTGAAAACATCCTTCTAGTGTCAAACTCTGCACACACATCATTCAAAACATCATTCAACATTCACACTGTAGGAACAAGAAGAAACACTGAGTTCTGACTGCAGGGCGACTAGACTACTGACCTCTGCACTGACCTCTGCACCTAAAGCACTCCGTACTGGATTACCTAAAAAACACTGACAGGCTGAAACTAGAATTTTAACAAAAAACAGCAAAGGAGAACCTTTTACCTTCGTCCTGGAGTCATTAAACTGGATACCTGGGAAGTTTCACTTGATCTTAGGCCCTAAATGGAGTTTGTTCCCTTATAGGTAGTTTAGTGATGGTTCTCTCAATGTACCAAAAATGACCAAATATGGTGACGCAGCTTTGGAACAAACTCTCAACACAAACAAGACAAGAAACTTCTGTTAATAGTTTAAATAAACAGCTCAAAACATACTTCTATGATCTCACGTTTAATTAATTCACCTCGTTTTTACATCCTTGCTGTTATTTCTCACACTTGTTTTAATGGTTTTTATATCTTCAGATCATTTTAACCATCATTATTAACTTGTTTTATTACTATTATTATCATTTTTATCTCTTTCTTTTATCGCTCCTGTTTTTAATACCTAATTAGTTTCTCCAATGAAGAAATTTGAGCTGCATTCTGTGTTATGAAATGTGCTTTATAAATAAAGTTTATTATTATTATAAAGACATCAATATTAGGGTGTTGCTTTTGCTCATATGATATAATTATTATCTCTCTAGTATCATTACAAACCTTGTTGATAGTTACTTTTTTATACTTTGATTCATCATATTAATACTGTTTATTCTTTATATTGTGTAATCTATAGATTGATTTATATCTCATCACACTTGGAGTTTGCCAACGCTTTACTGATACTATTTCTATTTGTTGTGTTTATAGTTCCTGTGGATATTGATGTATTGATCAGTGTAGTTATTCTGATTTATATTATAAAGTGCAGAGAGGATGTCTGACTGCAGGTTACAGATTATTTTAAATTAGATTGAGTTTGTTTCACAGTGTTCCACTGACTTCTATCTTTTCTGGACATTTTTAATAAAAAACGATATATTTCCAGAGCGACTTCCTGCACACGGTTGGGTTTATTCTTCCTCTGTGTGAGATTTGTTGCTTCCGCCCACGGTCGACCTGCTGACACCCGGAGCGTCGACTGTGTGTTGAGCTCTCTGAAAGAGCCCAGAGTTCGCTGACTGTGTGTGTGTGCCTCTGTCGGAGCTGCTGTAGATGTTTGGTGGGTTTGGGGAGGTGTGTGTGTGTGTGTTGGGTTGGGGGGTGTTCCCATGGTCACAGTGTGTACTTCGTGAACCACAACAGAGCATGTGGTTTTATGCTGCGCTCGCCTTAAACAGCTTCCACATGACGAGTGGTGAGCGGCAGCAGGAAGAGGAGAACAAGAAGAAACATAAAGCGTCTGAAAGAGGAGAAGAGCCAATGGTCACCACAGACGTGTTGGCAGATTGTGTTTCTCTCACACAAGCTGCCATCTTTGCCATCGTTACAACACTCAAACTGCCCAGAAATCAGTTCTA